AGATCTCTAGTCCAACCCGAATGGCGGTATGATTCTTTATGCTATTCTGTTATAGTTGTCACATTTACTTTAAACTTGAAGCTACTGATGATACAAAACATCAGATCTTCCTGAATATCTGGCAACTTCTACTTAGTGACTTTTGTGGCTCTGAATTTCTGGAACCATGCACTGCCTAGCAAAATGTTCAGGGGTCCTGTCCTTCCTCAAATTAGAGCCACTGGGCTACTCTGCCATTGCAGCAGTAGCTAGTATCATAAACCCAGTGGTAATCTTTTGTCCACCATAACATAAAGTTTACAGCTTTTGTGATTGCAGAGAGGAAAATTAAGAGTGTAAATTGAATGATTCAGACCCTGGAAAGAAAGTGCAAATCCAAAGCATACCTCAGCAGTTCTCATTTTTTAACCACACTCTGCTTTGAGGAAAAGTATTCAGTTATTTTTCATGCAAAGTTGACAATACTACTATCCTTCCCTGAACCTGCTTTCAGAAATAAGGGTAGCATTGCAGAGCAAGTGCCTAGTCTGCCATGCCTGGCTGTTCAGATAATCTCTGTTGGTCATTCTGAAACAGCTCCATCTTCAAAAGTCTTTGATCAGGAGGCATAATACAAATTTACTGTAGTGTAGATGCACCTGCTAAGAAGCCTAAATCACAGACCTGTATACTTATGTGTGGGCTTCAAATTATGTTTTCAAGTTATTCAAATCTTATGTTTTCTTTCTCTGTAGATAAAACATCCTAGTCCAATCTGTCAGGGGAAGAAGAGAATATGACTGGAATGTAATTTGTGGGTGGATAATTTTCTTTCATACATACTCTGGTTTTCATTGAAAAAACATATGTTGGCATTTTGCTTCCTTTTGTGAATATTGATCAAAACATAGACTTTTGCTGGTTTGCATTATATTCTTGAAAGCATATATTTCTTGGCTTCTTAAAATTAGCTTTTTGGGTTTGGGGTTTTTTTCCCCTTGTGACCTTAGGGAAAGCCCCCTCCTTTCAAACAATAATAACTGCAATAATGTAAAAAACAGCATGAGGGAGAGGGCATAGTGATGTATACAAGTATACTGCACACAGAGTGCCTATCCCAAATTCTGATTAGAGCTTCAGAGTCATGAATAAACAAACTCTGACAGTAACTCACAGGTAATGTTACCCTGACGACAGTATATATAACACAATTCCTTGATTACTTATAAAAAAAAAAAAAAAACCCAGGACAGTTAATGCTCCTTTTTTTTATTGGATGAAACATTTTCATTAAGTATTACATTAACTTCAAATTGTAAATCTTGCTTTTAATATTAGACTCAAAACTAATCAGTAAGTATTCTTACCAGTATATGTTGTGGGGATCTCGGTTTGTAAAATAGCGATATGCTTTATTTCCTTTTATCAGTGCTTGATTATATGTGAAAGAAGAAGCGGGAGCTCTTTACTATTTACATAGCAGTGGGTATATCAGTTGGCATCGTTGTGGCAAGCACAACGAATGTTGTTCTGTTACACTTTTTGGAGCAAGTTTCTGCTCGCTCAATTTTCCCAGTTGTGTGCGTGCTACTAACCTGGATATTAGATGACTGAGCATAGCAGAAATGACTGCAACCCTGTGGGGGAGCAGGACAGCAAATTTGAAGTATTTTTTTTGAATTTTGTTATTAAGAGGTAAAAATTGTTCAATCCAATACTTAAAAGTAGTAGGCTGTGTAACGAATTAAACGACGTTCTACTCCAAAATGTCTGTAAAGTAGCAGTTTAAGAGATTTACTGGTTTGTTGCCTCCTCTGCTCTATAGTTTGTTGCATAGCCTTTATTTTAGTCTCTGATAATGAGATTCTGGGGAATTTAGATCCTATTTTCAAGCTTTATTTACTTTTTAAGAGTCCTGAAAAAACTCTGAATTTGTCCATTTCAGAGGAATCCTATCCAATTTAATATTTTTCTTTATATTCAAACATTCATATTTGCTGCTAACTGTTCCAAGAGTCATGCCACTGAAGTTGCTGCGCTTCTGAACACCAATGCTTGCCAAATACTAGAAGCCAATGTTTAAGTGCACAAATAGCTTGTAAAAACGATAACCTCCTTTTAGGAGGGAATACGTTTTTCATTTACGCATGTTGAGCTAAATCATTTTGTTATGTAGTACATAAGCTGACAAACTGAGATAAAAAAGGAAGACCAACCTTGGACTCTTGAAGGTTTTTGAATTGAAATGCTACTCAAGATGATGAGGTCTGCTAATCCTAGCATCTTGACAGATACAATTCCTACAATTCCTAGGAATTAATCCTTTTCTCTACAGACACTATTTCATTTCCTCAACTTTAAGTGCATATTGTACTTGATAATAATTAAACTATTTATAATCTTTATAATCTTTCAATATATTAAACTAATTAATTTCACTTAAAATTTAATGGATTTCTACACCAAATTCCGATTTCTACACCAAATCCCAATTTCCAGTGAGATAAAGCTTAATGCACTTCCAAGTAAGGAAAACTGGAAAATGAGAGCAGCATGACCAGTTGACAAAATAATAAAAATGGAAGAAATAGGGTTTGTTTGTTTTCTGGGTTTTTTTTTTTATGTACAGGACAGCTTATACTTGTATAAGTTTGTGTCTTCCTGCTTTGAAAGTTGCTTGCAATCAATTTACACTGACAGGGTTTTTTTTATAATTATTTAAGCAGTTATTTTGCTATCCAGTTGCTGATTTGAATTATTGCTAAATTTGAATAATTTTTTTAATCAGTAGTCTGGTTCCCAGATTATTATCCCTCAAAGAAAACAATTGGATGCTATTTCCACCCTCTGGATTTTAACAGTACCAGAACTTGGTGTTGTGCAAACTTAGTCTAATGATAAGTATTCTGTAGTTACAATCCATAACTTAGTAGCAGGACTTTTAAATGTGTTCTTTATCTGTAGTTCTGTTTCCTCAACCTCTTCCTGGTTTGATGGGAGTGGGAGGAGGCAGAAGAGCCTTGCAAAATAACTGCAATATATCCATAGGGGTATTTACTGGTATAGAAGTCCGATTTGATTGGTAGAGATCTCTGATTTGAATTGGTTTTGCTGGTTAAATTTGTTAGAAACTGAAGTTTAGCTAGCTCTCAACAACCGAGGATGGTTTTGGTGGTGGTGGTGGTTGTTGTTGTTGGGTTTTGTTTTTTTTTTTGTAGCCTCAGTGTTTCCCTGTGGAAGGCATTTCTGTCCAGTAGAAGAGGGAAATCCTAACAGAAAATGGAATTTCTCGTTCTTAGATTTCCTGCTTTGGAGAGACAGAAATCCATCAAGTTGAAGGGGTATTATTTGGGGATAAACACTTTTCAGTAACACTTCTGCCAAGTGCAAATAAGAAGCATGGCTACTCTTCAGTATGAATAATTCTTTATTTTATTGGCTGTTGCTTATATGTATGTATATACACATATATATATATTTTTTTTTTGTTTCTGAGAGGTTTTCAGGCTCTTTTGATTAGACTTTCTACTGGACACTGTAATCTTCAGTTCTGTATCTTCGGTGTATTTGTAAGGTTTCGTTTGCTGTTTGCATCTGAAATCTGTTGTCAAGACAGTGACCCCCTTTTCCAGGAATTCTGTTTGGCTTGTAACTTACTATATCATAATACAAGGGGAGGTAAAATGGGAGTCTGGCTGAATCGCAAGTAGTGATTGTGTGATGTTTTATTCAGTTGTACCTGGAAGAAAATACATGTGCTATAAAAACTTCCAGTCTCTTTAGTCTAATAATGTTTGTGATAAGATGGAGAAGAGGGTTTTTTGTTTATTTTTGGGGGTGGGTGTTTTGTTAGAAAGGTAGGTGTTGTCTTTGCACCAGTGTTTTCTCCTAATTGATTTAATCTTCGTAGTCAGAATAAATAGTAAATTGTAACAAATCTTGTATTTAAACACTGATCCTCAAAATGTAATGTGCTGGAAATAAAATATTCTGTGTGAGGACCGGACTGGAGAAAACTGGTGGGACCTGCAGATATAGTGGAACTTATCCAGATGTTTTGAGAAATGTCTCAAGTTCACTGAGACCACTAAAACAAAGTAGAGGTTAGTTACTGGTCACCTTTTAGGCTGCAGCACTTAGATATTGGTTCTGAGATCTTGCCAATGTTGCTTAATCCCATTGGAAAGGATAGTGCAGAGCAACAATTTTGAATTAGTCACAGATCTTGTAGAAATTCTTTCATTACTATTGAATAGAGACACCTATCTCCTGAGAGTGGGTTGTTAAAGCTTTAGCTGGTCCTAGCTGAAATAATAAAAGGTGAAGCTTGACCCTGCTTAAGAAGAAAATTATTCTAGTGGCTAAAGGATAACATGAGTTTTCTTTAGGGATTATTGATAGTGAATAAGTTCTCTGCCATTCACCTGGTACTTTACTGACTCATGAAACCCTGGAGAAAAAAAAATCCTTCTAAAAGCCTACTTTGCTCATCTTTGCTTGATGGGAACAAGGCCAACACCCAGGCCACAAGTTGAGGCTGACCATCGATGTGTTAGGGTGAATTGTAGTGGAATCTATAGCTGGTATCTGTGAGATCAAAGTATAGGGGACCTTCGGCTTATTCCTCTAGCTGTTTTTTCTTACCTCATGCACAGCCCTCCTTCGTTGCAGTTCTAAGAATTTAAAAGACTTTCTTGCTGTATAATCTCCAGTAAGTACTTGAACTGTGGCCCATAGACACTTCTTGCTGGTGGATAAATACGCCAGATAATCTAACTGATAACAGAAGGTTGAACTAGTAATTTCTGCAGTCATAAGCAAAACTTTGAGTATTCATAAGAATCACTTTTTCTTTTTAATTCTAAGTGTTAATAGGATAGTTTAATTATCATTTTTCTTTGTACTCTAATACTATTTGGAAAATGAACTAGATATGCTAAAAGTACTTTTGACCTCTGTTTTATGAATTCTCATTTACAATATTTCCATTCATAATTGAATTCTCTCTCTTTTTTTAACAGCAAGACCATTTACAAAATTGGTAAAGGAAATGCAACTTCATCGAGATGATTTTGAAATTATAAAAGTGATTGGAAGAGGTGCATTTGGTGAGGTAAGATGATTTTTCTGTTAATTATAGTAACGTAGATTTGTTGTTTCTGCCTCCGATTTATTGCTGCGGTTGACCTGTACTTGTCCTAAAAGAGAAAAGATTCACACATATTTGTGTGAATACTTCCAGATGTGGTATACTAGCATACTACCTAGGTACTACTAACAGCCCTCTGGAGGGGGGTATCTAGTATCCAGTTCTGTCGTTTCTGTGACTGACTAATTCTGACCTCAGACTAGCAAAACAAGGGCTGCTTCAATATGTATATGACTAGTGTGGTCCCACCTAGCAGCTGTACAGCTGAATTTGGGATCTCTTCTCCTACTTGCCATATGTACTCTTCTGGGTTGCTATAATTTAACACAGAACTGGGCTGTTTCTATGGTAGGAACGCGGAGGCTGCTCCACCCATCTGCCTGTCTCTGTAACAATCTGGTAACGCAGAAAGAGGCATTTGGCTGCCTCAAAGGCTGTTCCCTGTCATCTTTGAAGATCAAAGGCTGCTGGATCTGTTTTCTTGGACAGCAAGTTGAATCATGCTGGGATGATAGGAACGCCTTGTATTTGAGGAGTTACCAGTCTTAGGACCCTGGACCGAAGCTTTTCTTTTTAAAAACATGCCTAACGAGAGTCTCATCAGTCACAGAAATCCACTAGGCCTTGCCACTGGCAAAAATATTCATGAGCGTGCCCCCTCTAGTAAGCACAGGATACCTGAGACTTCTGGAGAACCTAGAGGACAACTTTTTCAGCACTTAAGTCAACGTAAGTGAAGCTATAGCTGTCGGCAAAAGATGTGATTAAGTGGAGGATTTCTAGAAGTAAAAAAACCCTTAGATTTCTTTCTGGAAGATTCTTTTAAGTAGTACAGCACAAGTCAAATGTAATGACAGCCACTAATGGCTTGCTTGGGCCCATTAGCACGTGGTTACAACCTCTGCTGCTGGTGGCTGAGGCTGGGCTTCCTTACCTTGGTCTGTTGTTGTCTCCACAGACACGGCTGGGCTGCGCAGGGCTTTCATTCTGAGCATAGTGTGTCCTGGACACGTCAGACTCTTTCACAGAGGGTTTGTTTATATAACGGAACTCATTCATCGTGGCTGCTGGATATTCAGAAACCAGACATTTGGGAAAAGTCAGCTCTGCTCCCTGGACAGAATTTTGTGCGGAACTGAATAGGAACTGAATAGGGGGAGGAGAGCATGCTCAGGCATGTGCAGAGTGGTATTCCTACTAATGTTGCTATTGCTAATGTGTAGACTGAAGACCCTGTCCCAAATTGGAAATAAGCTCGTGTAGAAACGTGCTGCAATGGATAAGAACCTTGTAATTTAGTGTATTGGATGGACTGGTATCCTTCTCAGAAGTCAGTTACCCATTCATGTTACTGCAGGTCTGAGTAGAAGAGTTGCAAAGCCAGTATTCTTAACAGAGTGCCGCTCACCGTCTGAGAATTGTGTGGTTTGAAGAGCCACATGTTATTAATGAGAAAAGATTGTTTTCCTCTTGATATCACAGTCAGACCAGAAACTGAGCTAGGAAAATGCTAGAACCGTACTCAGCCTCGGTTCAGAAAGCAGTGAGATGTATACGTGGGTGTGTTCTTGGTAGTGTATGAAGGAATAGCTTCAAATCCAAATAATTTTAAGCTATTTCAGGGACTACTTTTGAGGAAAGTAGACACCTAAAAAAGAGAGAAATTAGTGTTTCAAGAACACCTTTTCGTCTGTTCCATAATCCAACGATCTGAGGAGGTAACGAGAAGTTCACGTGTAGTTGTAGTGGGCATAGCTATTCAGAAGACTTGAGCCTTTTAAGTAAAAAGCCCAGACTGATAGTAACATCTGGACCTGTAAGACAAAAATTCATTTTTTTTATTGTACATTGACCTTGAGTTGCAACACTTTTCACAAAAAAGAAGCGTTACCTTAGGGTAGTGGAAATACTGCAGCCGAATCAGTTCGCTGGTCTGTTTCACTTGTTTTTAACTGGATTTATTATTTGAAA